ACACACACACACACACACAGTATATTATATGCCGCCACATGCATCTTTGTACTAGGCTACATATTTCTGCTATATCCTGCTGATTGTATGATTTGTTTGTGTTCAAACTAATACAGTATCAGAATTTTATATATTTATACTTCTCATTCAACCACAATTAAATTCACTCTATCTAGGAGGCACAATTTATATGGATAGTATTTATTTTTTACAATAACAAGCTGGAATGAAAACCAACAAAAATGAAATAAAAGTAACAACTTTCTACTTCTTGCCTTTTTAAAAAATGTGAGGAGTAGAAAGTACAGATAACTGTAAAAATGTAAGAAGTAGAAGTAAAAAGTAGGCTGAAAAATAATTACTCAAAAAAAGGTAAATGTACCCAGAAATTCTACTTAAGTACAGTAACAAAGTATTTGTACTTAGTTACTTTACAACTCTGCTTTTAGATTACATTTAAGCACACATGTAGACTTGTGCACTTTATAAGACCACAAAAACTCAAATTTGATCAATTTATGAAACGTCCCATGAGCCTTTGCTGCTTGAGCGCATGTCAAACTTTCTCCAAGTGCCTTGGCAAAAAATAAATAAATAAATAAAAAACATGGGCCACCGCACTGGCTGCTTCCACAACCATAAAGTAAATAAAAAGGACTTTACTTATTCATATATTATTTCACTGCATTTGGTCTGCAGCCCTCTGACAGATTTTCATTTTGGCCCACTCAAGGAAAACGTTTGGGCACCCCTGATTAAGTTTTAAATTTTAGTTTGCTCTCTGTTTGACTCACGGATGTGCAGAAAGTTTTTTTTATGATAATAGCAACTTTGGACACAAACCAAAGGTTGATTAAAGGTTCAGCAGGTATATAGTCATAATAAATAAAAATTGCATGAATAGTTATAATCTTGGTTTGTTAAAGTAAATTTTCTGACTTTATAAGTGTTGCTTACAGACTTGAAGATGAATCGACAAAATTCAACGATTTTACAGATTGTCAAGTTTTTGTCAGCTGTTAATTAATGAATCAATAATTAGCTGTAAAAAAGGCAACATGCTTAACGAAAACATTCCTTTTAATAAAAGGATGCCTGAGTTTAAAGTGTCAAACTGTAAGACAACTATCAGCAAAAAGGGAAAAGTATGATTTATGTTGTCATTTTGTTCTATCTTCAGCATTGGCGTTTGAATTTCCAGACATAAAAACAAAGAATATTTCTGCATAAAGCTGCTTGTTTCAAAGCGCTCTCCTTTAATTCGCTGCCAAACGTGTTTCTGGCAGAGGAGGCAGATTCACCACAGTAAATCTGTGTTTAACACACACCTGTGCCTGCAGATCCTGCTCCTCCACAGACTCCTCCTCACCGGGCTTCTGGCAGGCGGTGCCTGCTTCCTCCTCAGGCTGCGGCGCCGTGTCACTTTCTGCGCTGAGCTCCACATCTGAGGCCTGGTCTTTGGGGCACGACGACAGCCTCTTTTGGAGCCGGCACCTCTCCAGGACTTGGAGAGCGAAGAACAGAAAACAAGCCAGGTGCAAGAAAACTGTGTTAGAAACAGTTGCTTTAAAAGAGAGAGTGGGAAACTTTACATTCAGTTTGCGCGTTTGTTTGAACAAAAAAAGAATCAGAGTTGCTGACATTCATTTGAGTGAAACCTCTTCTTGTTATCAATCAAAGCTTTTATCACATGAATCACTGACGGCACTCCAATGAGTTTCATTTTATTACCGTTTAATGTCTTTACTCACTGTTTGCCTTGAACCAGTGTTTGTTCAGCTCGGCGCTCATTTCCACACATTCTTTATAGAAATCCTTCGTTTTTTCCATCTCCCTGTTCTTCCCGTCTGATTCCAGGTTTTTCTGTTTCTCTATGTTCTGCTTAGTCAGCACCTTCTCCTCCTGCAATGAAACTTCAGAAAGAAACACATCTTGTTCTTCTCGTTTTTTTTCCACAAGGTCAATTAAATGGAAACACTGCATGCAGAAGGTCGGGGGTGGGGGGTCGGGGGTCGGGGGTATTTGTTTCTTCGTCATCTCTTACGGGAGTGAGACCAACCAAAATTAAAGCATTCTTTGTAAGAATGAAGTGTTCCTGCCGCCTTTCAGACAGAGATTTAAACTAAACTCGTTTTTTTCTAAGAAGAGATGGAGTCATGGGGTGTTTGGTAAAGTCATTGGGCTGTGGTTGGAATCTAAAAGGTAACCAGTTGTAGACAAAGACTCTGAAAGTTTCATTCAAATCCATCTACAAGTTTCTTGAAATACTTTACTAATGCTGCAAATAAACTCACAGACACGGATAAAAACATTGTTGCTCTGCTTTTACCTTTAACTTGGGCAGCAGGCATTAAAGGGGACATATCAGGCAAAATCCACTTTTTTACCCGTCAAATACATTTTGTATTTTGGATCTCCAGGAGTGCAGAAAGGTTGAATTTAATCTTTGGCTGTGTCCAAAACAGCAGGCCGGGTCCTCCGAAGGCCGAATTTGTCGGCAGCATACGTCACAGCGCCGCGACGAAGGCCGTCCAAAACCGAAGACTCCTCCGATGCGGCCGACAAATACGTCCTTCCTTTGGCCCGAATCGACGGACAGGTCTGATGGATCCTTCCCGGCCCAGCATATCCCATAATGCATTGC